CAACTCCCACCCGGGGGTCCCGGCCCCGCCGCCCCGCGGAGCAGGCCCCGGCTCGGCACGGAGGAGCCTGCGGTCGTTGGAACATTCAGAACGATTTATTGAAGTCAACCTCAAGCAAAAAGTTCAAATCAGTGGAATGTCATTAAAAACCTTTCGAAATGAATCCTCACGGAAGCAAAACCACATCTGAATTCCAAAGTATTTGTAAAATAAAAAAGGCAACATCTCAGTAAATATAATGTACAAAAATTATATGTTCCTACCATCACACACATTCAGTAAGAAGCTAAAATATTACAGGCAATCCTAGGTACGCTCTAACCAGCCGACAGTAAGCTAGCTATATACAGGGTAACCAAGCTTTACAGGTTTCACACTATGCAAGAGAACATAGGCCGAACAACAAAACCCCCAAAATATTGAGATATATCTCAAAGTCTATGCGGCAACATCAAGTCATAATACAGTAATGCCCCAGTGGAACATCGCCAGGGAAAGGTAACACTACTTTTAGTGTCGAGAGCTTCTAGTCAACCTCCGAAAACTCTTAAGATACCGACTTCAGTGAATACCGATGCTTCGCTAGTAAAGACTCGAGTGATTTCGTTAAAAGAACATCTCACAGAATCTACAAAGTCTGTTACAGAGAAACAAAGTCTACGGAAAGAACGACTCTACAAAGGTACAGACAGAGCACGGGGGATGGAGGCGGATCTGCAGGTATCTGTGTTGTGCAACATCACCGGCACGGCTTTCGTGTCTCCCTGTGCCCCTCGCCAGCCAGACCCCAGCGGTGTCACCCGGGCTGCGCTGGGAACGAAAAGCGACGCCGGAACTGAGACACGGCTCGACCGGTGAGGAGGAGATGGGGGTTTCATCCAGCCAAATACGGGGGTGACCCTGCTCCTCTCCTGCACCCCCCGGGCGGTCGGGACCACGCGGAGACGGGGAACGAGTGAACGGCTTTGGCAAATTCCCTTTTTGAGTTCACATCGACGACACCAATCGCTCCAGGTTCACGACTCCCCTCTCCAGAGCAGAGACGGCCCCGCGCGGGGGATACGGCCCTGAGTCTGCCACTCAGGAACGGGACAGCAAACAGGGGGTTTCTTCTTTTTTTTTTTTTGTCTTTTTTTTCCTCTTTTTTTTTCCTCAGAACGACACGGTGAATACATCCACGTGGAGGAGTGTATCGTAAGTGCAAATGGTTTTGCTACGCGCAGGGGAATGGAGAACGGGAAGCGAAGG